CCAGGATGGTCTCGATCTCTTGACCTCGTGATCCACCCGCCTCGGCCTCCCAAAGTGCTGGGATTACAGGCTTGAGCCACCGCACCCGGCCAGGTTGACTCATTTTTGAAGTCAGAAGCCCTCGTTTATCTTCTCCAGGAGGGCATCAGTTTGTCTTGCACAATTCCTAGTGAATTCACCAAGAACCAAAAGTCCAAACTCTTACTTCGGTTTTCTCTCTTTTTTTTTTTTTTTTGAGATAGAGTCTCACTTTGTCCCCCAGGCTGGAGTGCATTGGTGTGGTGTCTGCTCTTTGCTACCTCTGCCTCGGGGTTCAAGCGATTCTTCTGCCTTAGCCTCCCAAGTAGCTGGGACTACAGGTGTGTGCCACCACCCCTGACTAATTTTTGTATTAGGAGAGACAGGGTTTCACTATGTTGGCCGGGCTGATCTCGAACTCCTGACCTTGTGATCTGCCCATCTCGGCCTCCCAGAGTGCTGGGATTATAGGTGTGAGCCACCGCACCTGGCCTATACTTTGGTTTTCTCTTATTCACACCTGTTGAATCAGCAACACTACTTTTATTTTACAAGCTTGAGAATGTGTTCTAGCCATGTTACAAAACTTAGTCATTCTAAGAAACAAATTTAACTTTAATGAAACTAGTTAACCAACGGGGCATGGTGGCACAGGCCTGTAATCATAGCACTTGGGGAGGCCGAGGCAGGAGAAATGTTTGAGCCCAGGAGTTTGAGAACCAACCTGAGCAACACAGTGAGACCCTGGTGGCGCACACCTGTAGTCCTAGCTACACGGGAGGCTGAGGCAGGAGAATCGCTTGAACTGTGGAGGTGGAGGTTGCAGTGATCTGAGATCATGCCACTGCACTCCAGCTGAGGTGACAGAGTGAGACTCCATCTCAAAAAAAAAAAATTTGTGGTATTGGTATACGGTAATTCATGAAATCCCTTCTTTTTAGATTTTCAAGTGACTACCTGGTAAGTCTGGAGAATATCCTTATGCATTTAGTTTTTCTTTGCTTCTGTTTCTGATGGAAACCTCCTTAGAAGAGGAATGACTAAGTCATAAAATGTATCTGATATCTGGACTTGTGGTCCACAGCTGCCACAAGCTGTATATAAGAGTGTATTCTGTAGTTTGTGTACAGATTAAGCAGAAAGTCAGCCGTTATTCATTCCACAGCAGAACTAACTTATTTATTCTGAGACAATCAAGTCAGACTGAAGGAATGTTGAGTATGTCAGCTGTGCCAGGCACCAGGATGGGCCATTTCACACAGGAGAAACGTGGAGTCAGTAGACTCTGGCTAATTCAAGGCAGGCTGTTTGAATCTGAATGGTACCCTGGTGCCATCTAGCCTGAATGTGGTCAGTTTCTCTTTGGCAAAAGCTTTTGTGTGGGTGATGAGGGTGGTGCATCTTTCTTTAGAAAGTTTTATATTTGGAGAATTTTTACTGTGTCGGGATATCAGCTGCCTTGTTCATGCTGCATTTCTTTTTTGTTGTTGTTGAGACAGTCTGTTGCCCAGGCTGGAGTGCAATGGCACGATTTCGGCTCCCTGCAACCTCAGCCTCCTGGGTTAAAGTGATTCTTCTGCCTTAGCTTCCCAAATAACTGGGATTACAGGCACATACCGCCATGCTCAGCTAATTTATATATTTTTGGTAGAGATGTGTTTTGCCATCTTGGCCAGGCTGGTCTTGAATTCCTGGCCTCAAGTGATTCCATGTTGTTATTTCTTTTTTTTTTTTTTTTTTTTAATTGAACAGCTCAAAGTTGGTCTACCAGGAAGAGGACCAGGTCCACTTAGTGCCTTTTGTCTTAAGAATGTATGATTGGTCGTCCCAATGAACCCTGATATGAGAGCTTGCATTTTTTTTAACCTTATAACATGTTAGCTAAAATTCTTCATTCTGGAGGGTTTCTCAGGTTGCTGTGGGAAGTTAACAATTAGATACATGGCTCTGCTTGTCAGCAGTAGTGCCTCTACTGGGGTAAGGTACATAGAGGTCCTCCTTGGTTGACTCTTTTTTTTTTTTTTTTTTTTTTTTTTTTTTTTTTTTTTT